ATCATGGGTAACCAGTTGCACTGTAAATGGAGAACAGCAGACTGTTGCATCCTGTCCCTTCAAATTCTTTGACAGCTTGGGCACCACTATCCCGTGCTTTTAAATGAATTTTATAAACTGGTATGTTGAATTCGTGCATTCCTTCTAGAATAACCTCAACAACGTGCGTCGCTCTGAGTGATCCTGGAAATGGCATCACTCTAAAGGCATCAGTTTTCTGAATGAAGTCTTTCCTGTCATGTGTGAAGGTGTGTACTGTATTTGCCTATATGCACTTATTTATATGTAGTTGCAGGGGTCTAGTCTCAGCTCCCGGTCCCGCCTCTCGACTTGCTATTTGCCACATTTCCTTTCAAGCCTAATGAGCTCTCTCGTTCCGTCTCTTAAAACTGTGTATGAAGCCTTCCTCCTCCACATTTTCATCAAGGTTATTCCACTTCCTGACCACCTTGAGACTGAAGACATATTTTCTGGCATACCAGTTTGTCACCTCTCAAACAATTTATCTCGGTGTACCCTACAAATTCTCATTAGTATTTTGTTTGTTGCTATGTTCCCTTCTTCAGCTTTTCTCTAATGTCATGATGTTCGGCTCTTTGAGCTTCTCCTCACAGCTTTATCTCTGGGATCAGTCTCGTTAAATACCTCTGCAGTTTCTCCGTTACGGGTTTCATGTTGGTGATGCATACTCCAAGATGCGCTTCAGATATGTCGCATAGAGGGTCTTGAATGAGTTTCTCAAGAGTCCTGAAGGCAAAATTTAGACTTGCTTGATGAGCATTGGAGAGAAAATATATTTGGTTCAAGTGTGCCTCTAGTGATAAGCTGGACATTATGCTTCGAATGAGATCTGCAGTCTCTGGACCCAGAGTCTGTACCCTGTGCCGGAATTGTTGCCCCTTGCCCAATCTTCCTAACAGCGCATGTTCTGGGTTTGCTTTCTGGTATCCATTTATCTGACCAATCATGCGGTTTGTCCTGATCAGTTTGTAGCTTTTCTTTGTCCTTATTGACTTTTATTATCCTCATTAGAGACATCTAGCTCGATCCATCTGGTATAACATTTCCATATATCAAAGACAGTAGTACTAACTCTAATACTAATTTTCTCCCATCTTAAATACTGTGACTTTATTTAAAGTTTTCAAAATGTCTGGCAATTATCCAATGTCTGTTGACGTGTAGATCCTCCCTAGTGGTGACTCCTTGTCAGGTCCCATTGCTCGCTTAAAAGTCTGGCTCCTTTAAAATTCTTTTTCTTTATTACCAATTCCTCTGTTGTATTTATGTTTTCTAGTACCGCGGGTGAACCCACTTTACACCAATAAACTCTTTAAATCATTTATTTAACGCTTTAATCTTGTTTTTTCTGTACTCGTGAGCTCTCTTTCTTTCTAGAACCGAATTAGCTGATGTCTTACAGTCGTCTTTCTTATTATGTGGCTGTAAGGAAGTGTTGGCTTAGTCTTGGCTCTGCTGTTGTCAGTCTCAAATTGATGTTCAACTTCTCTTCGTATCTTTCCTTATTCGTTTCCGGCTCTTCTATTCGCGTCTCTGTTTTCCAGTCTTTCACTTTCTATAGTTTTTTTTTCAAGTTCTTGTATTCGTCGTTTATTCTTTTCCTCATCGTTTATTGAACCAAGGGCTTTTTTGGAAGATTTTTTTTTCTGGGTATGAATGTCACCTCTGCCTCCTGGCACTTCTCATTTGGTGACTTTCTTTCTAGCTCCATTTCCCACTTCACCGTATAGAAAAATTCTCTCATTTTTTCAAAATTCCCTCTTCTGAAGACTAGTGTCTCACACCTTCCAGGTGCATTATTATTTTTCTATTAACACATCGACCGCTGCCCACCAAGGCAGGGTGACTCGAAAACGAAGAAACACTTTCATCATCATTCATTCTATCACTGTCTTGCCAGAGGCATGTCTACACTACAGTTAAAACCTGCAACATATCAACACCTCTCCTTAAGAGAGCAGGCAGTGTACCCTACCTCCAAGACTCAAGTCCGGCTAACCAGTTTCTCTGAATCTCTTCATAAATGTTACTTTGCTCACACTCGAAGAGCGTGTCAAGTCATAAAAAGAATTCGCCTCCACTCACTCCTATCTTACACGCTCATACACGATTGCTGGATGTCCCAGCTCCTCGCACACAGAATCTTCCTTTACTCCCTCCCTCCAACCTTTCCTAGGACGACCCCTACTCAGCCTTCTAAGTCATTCAATTTTGGTCCATCCACTCTAAATGTGTGAACCACCTAAACATCCCTTCCTCTGCCCTCTGGATAACACTTTTAGATACCTTGTACCTTCTTCTAATCTCCACTCTACAAATTCTCAGCATTATATTCACACCGCACTTTGCCCTTAGACACAACATCTCCACTGCCCCCAGCCTTCTCCTTGTTGCAACATTCACCACCTATGCCTCACGCCTATGTAAGAGCGTTGGTACCTCTATACTCTCATACATTTCCCTATTCGCTTCCATGGTT